GACATACCCGCTCAGACACTGGCTCGCTACCATCTGGGGCCATCACTACGTGTCTTCTTGCCGGATAGCCAAACAAACAAAGGTCCCCAATCAACTGAATTACCACCTTTGTATCGAGCCCTTCTGGCATTTCACCGACGTTTGGAAGCTACGTGCCCAGAGATAGAGGTGGCCGATTCTAAAGTGGTGGACACAATGGCCGCCCTTCTACGGCCCCTGGTGCCCCAGCATCGTCAATCTGTATTGAACCGCGCTTGGAAACCAATAACTGCCGCAGTGTTGCCAGGGCATCTCAGAGACTTTGTCTGGAGGCTGGGCTGGGGCTTGCTCCCCACGCGAGATCGGTTGCAGCGATGGCAGGTGGTTCGCACTTCCACTTGCCCCAACTGCGTCATGGTAGAGACCAATCGACATGCGACGTTTGAATGTGTGGTTTCCCGCCTTTTTTGGCGTGCGGTTAATGCTGGTTTTCGGGGACAGGGTGTGCGAACTTTCGTGTCCAACGGCCGATTTCCACGTAGCCGCTTCTCCGCTCTCTTAATAGTTGCGGGGCTTTTCAGCCTTTGGAGAAACCGATGTGAGGCCGTAGCTGCCGATTGCCGCCGGCGTGCCTTGTGGCCGATACTGGGGAGAATGAGACGAGAGATCCTCGCGTTCCTCTCCGAAGAGCTTTTCTTCCTCGGGGAGCAAGAGTTTCTGCGGCATTGGTCGTGCCCTTTCGTCAAAGTGGAACACGAAAGGATACAGCTAATTTTTCGACCAACTTGGTGCTAAGCAGCGCCCGTTGAGTTGTTATATATGATTTCATTTGTTACAAATTGTGTTTTATTTGGATCTATTGTATCGTTATACCCTTGTATCGTGATATCACATTGAATTTTTGTGTACATGTATGCCAACATAATCATGTATATTAGAGCAAATGTCTTCACTGTGACGTAGTGATGTTAGTCGTGAAATATAGATGTGCAGAAGTGTATGTGCCCTGTTGCTGGAATGGTATGAAGCCTTTGTGTTTTGTACATGCTGTAAATAAACTTTTTCTAAACAAGGAGCTTCGCCCCTAATAACAGCAGGGCAGGTAAGCGTGGCACTGCAACTCTGTCATTATTGATTTACTGAGCTTGGAATTTTTTTTCCGGCAAGGACAAATGTGCATCCCTTCTGGCCCGTGTGCTCAGATTTGGGTGCACGTTAAAGAACCCCAGGTGGTCTAAATTTCCGGAGCCCTCCACTACGGCGTCTCTCATAATCATATAGTGGTTTTGGGACGTTAAACCCCACATATCAATCAATAATGCATCTCTTCTTTACACTTAGTCATCACGCAACAATTTGCCAGTACCTGCCGAGGGTGCGAAAGTGCCCTTGGAGACTCCTGGGCTTATTCTAACATTACTAAGGCTCAGAATAAAAGAGAGCAGAGGTAGTTGGTGCGTGTTCATTCTAAAAGAGAGAGCGTCAATATGCGGACGTAGGAAAGATGTCGGGACATCTCATACGCCTACTAACAACGCCTACTAAATTTCGAGGCTGAAAGGCTGCCGCAGTGATGTCAGAGCTTGGGGGCCCAGTTGCCCAACTGACCATGCTCAATAAGACTTTTTTTTTCACAACTTTTATTTGGCCCAATCAAGCCGCAGCAGCTGCGAGAGCGGGAGCGTTGGTGCTCCTAAAACGTGAACGAAACACAGGCTTTCCGCCGCGTTCGCGGCGTAACTGGGCCCCCACCCTCTGACGTCACTGCGGCAGCCTTTCGGCCTTGAAATTTAGTCGGCGTTGCTACTAAGAACTGAAAATGGACACAATGACGAAAAAGAAAGGAGAAACGAAAACTTGTCTCCATGTGGCCACGCAATACGCGACCTTATCAATCCGTGACGCGTGCTTACCTTTCACGTAGACCAGATTGCGTGCTAGATTGGTAAGTTCGCATATTGGATGGACAGGCACAGGTAAGTTTCCGTGTGTTCTTTTAAATGCGAAGCATTTCTTAGTGAACTTCGGCCACTTTGCGCGTATCTATCTATCTAACCGCCTACGACATTTAGCTCTCCCGGGCGTTTCGATAATGGTATCAATACGAAGCTTTGCATGCCATAACATGACTCTATGAAAAACATATTTGACTAGTCATGACATGAAAATTGTATGTATGTCATGCATGTCATGATTTACGTTTCATGATCCTGTAGCTCTTGCTGTGGTTTCGTTCATGTTGTAAAACCGGTATGGTATGACATGATTGCATTGCGAACAAAAGCGACAGACCCTAATATGATAATCATGAGATGCGTGTCATGTAACATGACCACATGCCATGCTCATGATGTGCTCACAGCCGTTTCGCTAGCTTCACTTATACCAAAGTTGGCGGTACGGGACGTTAAAGGATGACGAATGTATCATACTGGTGCAAGCATGAGAAACATGAGATGCGTTTCGTGTAACAACTTGAATACATACTACGCTCATGATGCGCTCGTGGCTGTTTCGCTAGCTACACATGTACAAAACTCGCTAATATGGGACGCGAATGGACGACATAGGTGAATGAATCATCCAAACATGATAATCTTGACATGCGTGTCATGTAACAACATGACTACATACCACACTCATGATGCGCTCGTGGCCATTTGGTAGCTACAGATATGCCAAATTTGGTATTACGTGATGCCAATGGATGAAGAAACTATGTGACTGGTGCAAACTTGATAGTCATGAGATGCGTGTCATGTGAGAACAGGAGCACATGCCACAGTAAGGATGCCAATACATGTCAACTTCACGTGGTATGCGTGCTCGCCGGCGTTCATTTCCTCGCGTCGCGCCGGCGTTGCCACGCCATGCGCTGGTCCTGCCATATACTCACAGGGGCACGCCGCGCTCCATTGCTGTGACGCATGCGCGTTTCAGCGCGTCCAGCGTTCCTCCGTCACGAAAGGAGGGAGACGCAAACGTCACGAAAGGAGGGAGACGCGGTGTTCTCTTTCGCGCCGTTTGCCTTCGGGCCACGCCGACGGACGCTGGTCGCGCGCGGCGTCAGACTACAGAGTGCTCACGTTTCGCTAACGTAGCGTCGCTGTGCTCAGCGTGCGCGCGCGTCAACGCTACATAAGAGTATATTGGGCCCTTCATTATGCGCTTGTAGCCGTTTTGCTAGCTCCACATATACCAAATTTGGTGTTACGGGACGTTGTTGCATGCGGATATATATATGACTGGTGCAAACATGATAATCCTGACACACGTGTAATGTAAGAACATGATAACATACTACGCTCATAGCATGCTAGCGGCCGTTTAGCTAGCTTCTCATATACTAAATTTTGTATCACGTGACGTGAATAGATGACGAAGGTAAACGACACATCCAAACAATATAATCATGAGAGTGAAGTCTTGTACGGCATAACTTAGCTCCACGTCGTAACGTTGTGTTGATTGTAAAGTGACATATCAACATTTCACATTCGTGGCTTCGCATATCATCGATTCCCACTGTACGTGGGATCTGCAAATTCTTTTTCTGCCACTGCGCATATTTTCAGTTGTTAGTAGGCGTAATGAGATTTCCTGACTTCTTACGTATGTCGGCATCTTCGCGCTCTGTCTTTTAGAATAATTAGCAAGGCTTGTTTCTAAACGTATGGCATGTTTTCTGGTGAAACCTGCAAGGATAAGCGCAGAATTGCACCTGATGTCACGCTATGTAAATCACGAATAGAGTGGGTGCATTAATGGGCCATTCATTACTGGGCGTTTAAATCATAAATAGGCCCAACCATGATGGTCTAAGGTACTCGGATGCTGACCCGCAAGTCAAAATCCCTGCGGCGGAGGCTGCATTTACGATGAAGGCGGAAATGCTGTAGGCCCGTGTGCTCAGCTTTGGGTGCACGTTATATAACCCCAGGTGGTCAAACATTTCCGGAGCTTTCCACTACGGCGTCTCCTATATTCGTATGGTGGTTTGGGACGTTAAACACTACGTATCACTCAATCAATGAAACTATAATTATTCTTCAAAATTGGCCTTCAGCGATGTGGGCATTGTGTCTTACGGGTGCGTTGTGGATACTTCATCATTTTGGAAACTGGTGGATGGGGTAGAGCGCGCTTCGCAACTGCACTTGCAATTGGCATTTCTGGATAGTTTAAAACTGCCCATGCTTAACGCATAGTGTTTCATGTTCTCGTGCAGCGGCTAAGGTGTTTACATTGTAGCGAAGCGTCACATGCAAATAAGAAGGCTAGCCAAAAGGGGCTCATTTGCGCTACCTCCTGCCATTCTAGAAGGTGAAGCCGATGTGCGCTCGAACTGTCACACCCAGTTATTTATTTTATTTATTTATTTAAAGTATACTGTGGTCACAAAAGACAATGCAGGCGGGAAAAAATGCAGTTTCAAATTTACAAGCACAAGTGGAGCCGTAAGGCTCCATTTATTTAGAGTTATTTAGAGATATATTATCCAGTTATTTATAGATATAACGGAAAGCTCAAATACGGCTATAATGAATATCTTTTTTTATTTCGGGTGCTTTGTTTTAGGGCATAACTGATTATATGCGCTACTGTGGTCTCTTCTGGTTTTCTGTTCGGTATAAACTAATGGAGCGGTTTGTTTTTGCGCAACCATTAACAGCAACCAATCCTTTCAGATAGACATTGATAATTTTGTCGTTGAAATATTGGATGGATTATCTTGTGCTAATGAAATCGTCCAAGAACACAAGAATGCATCTATTAAAATTCCGAATGATTACTTAAACTATTAACCACAACCAATCCTTTAAGATAGACATTGATAGTTATTGTCTTGGAAATATTGCATGGATAATCTTGTACTGATGAAATCGACGAAGAACACAAGAATGCATCTATTTAAAATTCCGAATGGTTACTTAGATTTGTTACTCTTTGTTACTTATGAGTCTCATTTACTGCATGCCAAGGTCATTGATAACGTGGTGACTCAGTGCATATTTTTTTAGATTGCAGACCGGTGTGGCAACAGCTGCGTGTCAAATTGTGCTCGAAGCACTCAGACTACAATGACCGCATTGACACAGGTAACTCGAACGCAAAAGGACAACTTGTAATTAAATTTAGTTTTTGAGAAGGCCAGATGTCCTTCAAATTTAGCATGGTATCATATAAAACGAAACACCTTCACTGCGCAGTCCTCCGCCAAAGCCAATCACAGATTTGTCATGTGACTGGCGTTTGCGAACTTTCGAGCCTACACGTGAAGACTTGATAACATGACTAGCTATTACTTCGTTTTCGCCAAAGAATGGCCTTCCAATAGGCATTACACGTGATGTGCATTTTAGTAACGTGAGAAGTTGCTTGATTCACGTCGAAAACATGTTACATTACTAGATGTTAGCGATGTTGAGTTATTGTTGTGGCTTAACTAGTTGGTACTGTAATGTGACGTTACTTTAATAGTGTAGCACCTACGTGATGTTACTTCATTTTCAGTTACAAAAATGGCCTCGTTGTAATGTTGGGGTATTTTTCAGACACGTGTGTAGTTACTTGAATTCACGTGATTGTTTTTATTTCCGTCATTAGTGTTCTTTCAGGATTTGTGATTTTAGTCATGTAACTTGTCATGTGATGTTATCTAAGTTTATAGTTATGTGATTTAAGTGTCACAATTAGTTGTTACTCGATGGTACGTGATTTAAGTGTCTTGATTAGTTGTTACTCGATGGTACGTGGTTCTAGTCCCTTGACTGGTTAAGTAATGTTTGGTGATTTTTAATCACGTAACAGACTCGACCATCATAGATATTGCATTGCAGGCCTGCTAATTTGTCGCACATTTGGGAGCAAAGCAGAAGTTAGAGAAAATGAAGCGTGTACGTAATGGTTTATAATGATAATAATTCTTCTAGGCACAAGCGGGCGCAACGAAAACCATGCAAGGATAGCTTTGCTTTTATAATGATGACATTTCTTCACGACTTACGTGTCAAGCTCATGTTGCGCTCACGGTCGGTTCGCTTGCTTGATATCCACCCTAATTGGCATTGCATGATGTGGCTTTATGTCGAATATCATGGACAGGTGTCCACGTGAAAATGTTGACATCCACGTTATGTACGTCATGGTTTAAATACCCCCCTTATGATGCACTCAGGAGCAGTTCGCTGGCTTTATTAAACACCGAAATGCCCATTGCGTGTCATTTCCATACGACCAACGAATATGACAGTTCCTCACATATAAATCATGGTATGCACAGCACTCGTTGCATGAGTCTGCGTAGAGGGATTTCCTGTTGTTTTGTTAACAGTAATTTAACAAAATTTGTATTACATACGTTCATGACGGACATCCATGGGCATGCAGTGTGTATTCCAGACAGAATACGCATCGCATTGGAATGGTGTTTATAGATTGTAACCTACATGGAGAAATAACGAACTTGCTATAAATAGTGAATTGGACGTCATCGTATGGATACCTTCATTTGCTCCACGCACAAACAAGGCGATGTATATAGTTCATTGCTCGCGTTACGATTATTACAAAAATGCTTGGCATCTACTGGATTATAAAAAAAAATCAGCACTGCGTTTATAAGCTGTGCGTGCCTGTTTCCGTCCGTTTCGATATCTCCGCTCTGCCCTTACCCTACATCTTCAGACTGTGGAGCTCGTCGATTTCACTCCCATCTCTTACTTTAGCAATAACGGGTCTAAAACATTGACAGAAATGTCTTTCTGTTGCTATAAGCAAATTTCATCAAATCAGTTAGTGTATAGGGGTGAACTAATATTTGAAAATTTTCAAATACGAATGACATAGCATTTTATTTTATTTTATTTCATTTATTTATTTGTAGAATACTGCGAACCTTGAGAGGCCCAAGCCGGAGAGGGATGTACACATTCAGAAGACATGCGTACGGATGCAAGATCGACACATGGATGTGAGGGTACATAATCAACAGGTAAGTATACAATAATTATACATTGGATGACAGCAAGGGTGAACACTCTGGCAAAACATTCCAATCGGAAACAGTTCTGCGAAAAAATGAATATTTGTATTGGTCTGTACGGGCAAAGAACGGTGTAATACTTCGGCTATGTTTGTGATGAGACGCTCGACTAGGGTTATTAGCTATGTAATCTTGTGACTGGATTCCCAATTTATTAAAATATAGCTGGTGTAGAAAGTTTAGACGGGCACTTTTACGTCGATTGGCCAATGGCTCTAGGTGTGCGAGCTCCAACATAGCTGAAGGGAAGTCGCGACGTCTAAAACGTTTATAAATAAAGGGAGCTGCCAATCTCTCAATTTTTTTCAAGCTTTTCTTTATTAGCGATAGTATGGGGGTCCCATACAATGCTTCCGTATTCCAGGGTGGGTCTTACAATGGATTTGTATGAAATGAGTTTAAGCGACGAGGGGGCATCACCTAATTTATGCTTCAGAAATCCTAACTTCTTTCTCGCGGAGGAACATATGTTATTTATATGTGTTGACCAGTTAAGTCTGGACGTCAAGGTTAACCCCAGGTACTTATGTTCCTCCACTTGTTTAATCTGATAATTGCCAAGACTATACATGAAGTGAGATTTAGATGCACATGTGAACTGTCTTGTCGAGATTTATAAGCATATCCAATTTATTGCACCATTCCGTTATTGCATGCAAAGCATGGTTAAGAACGTGCTGGTCAGCGGCAGACTCTATGTGGCTAAATATGATGCAATCGTCTGCAAACAGCTTAAGGCGTAGAGGGGGCTTTACAATTTAGCCAAGATCATTAATATAAATGTTAAATAGAACCGGTGCCAAGACCGAACCCTGTGGGACGCCAGAGAAAACATCAAGAAAACGAGAACAGGCACCGTCAATTTCAACATACTGTTTGCGGCCAGTTAGGTATGAAATGACCCAATTGACGACTTGTGATGGAATGCCTAAGTTTTTCACTTTTGTTATTAGTTTCGAGTGTGGAACTCTATCGAACGCTTTCGAGAAGTCTATCAGAACTGCGTCAATCTGTCCGCCCTCGTCAAGTACCTGTGCCATCTCATGGACGGTAACTACTAATTGAGTTGCAGTTGAAAAACCTCTTCGAAAACCATGCTGTACGTTAGTAAGAAGAGTATTGTTGTCAAGAAAATCATTTGAGTGTTTAGCAATTACGTGTTCGAGAACTTTACAAACTGTGCAAGTGAGAGATATGGGTCGGTAATTACAATAATCGGTGACAGAGCCTTTTTTAAAAATTGGTTTCACTCGGGCAACCAACCATTCAAGTGGGAGGCAAGAAGTTTCAAGAGACTTAGAATACAACCGTACCAAGAATCTAGCTAGGAGCTCTGCATATCTTTTGAGAAATGCGGTGGGAATGTTATCAGGTCCTGCGGATTTTTTAGGGTCTAATCGTAAGAGCAGCTCAGTAACACCTTCGACAGTAATATGGATATATTGGTTGCTATTGTTGACGTAAGGCGTATTACCCAGCGTGGCTGGCCTTGAGAATATGCTCTGGAAATAGGAATTAAACGTTTCAGCAATTTTTTTTATCTGTAACAATTCGAGCACCAACAGCTATTTGATCTACGCTTCTTGAGTCCTTGTTTGATAAAAATTGCCAGAATTTGTGAAGGGATTCGGTAGCAAAGCGCCCAAGGGTGGTTGAATAGAAGCGCTCTTTAGCTTCTCGTAGTTTAGATTTCAACTTAGAACTTAGCTTAAAAAGGAGGGTGGCATCCCTGTTCTTCCTTTTTCGGTACCGTTTTAGTTCACGTTTTACATGTATAATTTCTCTGGTTATCCAAGGATTGGCTTTGTTGATTTTTTTCATTTTATCTGGAATAAACTTATTGATGCAATAATTGCAGCATGACTTAAACTTTGCCCATAAGACGTTAACATCGTCATCGTGAAATGTCAGTAATGCTTCTTCTAGATGGTGGGCAATGTTTGGGTTATCTGCTGCGTTGTAGTCTTTTACTTTTACAAATTTAGCGTTGTTTAACTTGATTCGGTTTGAGAGCTTGCAGGAAAAATTTACGAGCTTGTGGTCCGAGACTCCTTCGTGAATTTCTGTGGTATGATCAGTAAAGCTGGCTGAACACAAAATTAAATCTAGAATGGGGGAAGCAATGCTAGTCACCCGTGTTGGATATAGTACTATCTGTATAAGGTTGTAAGCTAATAAAGTATCTAGAAGGATTTCGAAGTTCTTTGTATCAGTGCCCCCTGATGACATCGAGCACGAATCTATGTGCGGTAAGTTGAAATGTCCCGCAGCAATAATGTTCTGATCCTTATACACTGCCAAATGATCATACAGTTCAAGTAAAAATTCACAGGGAGCTCCTGGTGGCCTATAAATTCCCGCAATAACAATATGGTTTCCTGAAATATTTATTTTACAAAAGACACTTTCGTGGTCAGAGTTAACAGCAGGCAGTGAAACAGATGAAAGGCCCGCCTTCACTAGAATTGCCACACCACCTCCTCGTGTAAGTCTATCTTTGCGATAGCACATATATGAAGACGGAATCACGTAATTATCAGGCAAGTCTGGACAAAGCCAGGTTTCGGAGATGACAGCTATGTGCGGGTCATATGTTAACAACACGTGTTCCAGTTCTCCTTGTTTGTTGCATAAGCTTCGCACATTAAGGGAAATGAGCCTCAGTGTTTTCGGTTGTTGCTTTGTAGAATCCGGAAGTCATTCGTTCGCCTTTTTCGTGTTTTTCGGTTTAGTGCTCAGTTCTCGTTTTTTACCTTTGCGCACGAGCACCCGGCAATCTTTTGCTTCGTCCCACGCATAAATGTAGTTGTTAATATGCAGTTTATTATGAACAAGTTTTATCTTATTGTCGGCCTTGTTATCAGAACTTACAGATTGCCAAAGTTTTTTTCTTATGTGCTGCATTGCCTGGGAGTAGTCATGTGACACGGAAACTTCGCTGTCTTTTAGTTTGAAACAGTTATTATTTAGTATGGCTATTTTTTCGTTGTAATTGTACAACCTGGGAATGATTGGCCGGGGTTTATCATTTCGGGGTTTACCGATTCGGTGAATGCGTTCGAGAGAGGTGACAGCGACTTTTAGTTCATCATTGCAAACCCGTCGGACAACCAAGTCTTCAAGGACTTCTCTGGTTTCTTCTGGGCCTTCTGGTATGCCGTAGACTACTAAGTTATTCCGTCGTAACCTATATTCATAGTCATTAAGCCTCTTGCCTTGAATTGCGACAGTTTTTTTCTAGTTGTTCAACGGTATGCTGAAGGGTATGAATTTTTTCTTTATTTGCTTTTGACAGCTCCAGAACTTCATCAAGGTTTGAACTAATACGGGTCAGAGTTTCATCGTGCTTGTTCGCGGCAGTCTTTATCTCTTTCAGTTCCTCAAGAATAGCACTTAACACATCTTTATGCTCATTGAGGTCAACAGCGGACCGGGTCTGGGTACCGGGATTCGTCTCTACGTCCCCGCACAATACGAGAAGTAGCACAGACCAACAATCAGCAACTATACAGAAACAACGCCGAGGGCACGGCAGCACTACTAATCCATAGTAACTAGCATATTTTCCTAAGGAAGTATCATAAAAACTAACCTGCATGATCAGCCATGCGCAGTCAGACATGCTCGAGGCGATGCCGCCTCGAGCATGTATTCGTTGGCTTCTCCAGCCGAAGAGCGTTTGTATACGGAATCGTTTCCTAATTGCTTTCGAATAATGAGAAATTATAAAAATACTGGAAGCACTGAAATGTGAGAACATGGAGAAGTTACTTCCTATTGATCATCGATTTACCAGGCAGAAGTAGCCTATGCACTTATGAAGCGATCGACGCCGTGTTTATCAGATGATGAAGGCGATTTCTAAAACGTTCGGCGTTCCCGAAGCAACAGTTTCAGCAATAAACTATCGTAACTATCAAATTTGTGATGCCAATTGATGAGACCTACCTGACCTTTAGGTATCCGGTTTATTTAAAAGCTGTCGACAAAGTACTTCTATGGTCACTGCCTACTTCAGCCTCCTGTTCCCAAATCTATAAAAAAAACTATAGGTGTTGCTCAGCTTGAACACTTCCCAACTTCTTGTATGTTAAAAGTAATCGTAGTGCTCTTTTACTGAAGCATGTGATGATTTACAGCTTTACTATTCAAAAACGATTGAAGCAGTATTCTAGTCGTGTAATTTTGTGTGATTCGGTGTCATAATTATTTGATTTATATTCCATGCGGCCCTATAATCCACTATTCGCACACCCCTTACGATAGAAGGTATAAATCATGAAACATGCAAACCACCTATTTAGGGGGGCGGGTATGAGTCGCATACACCTAATATACCTTTATCACTGGCGCCGTCGGCGCATGAGCACCGGTAACGTTTCAACGGTGGCACCCCGAAAAATTTTTGGTGGCTCGTGGCCCCCGAAACCTGTCAGCGCTCCATCTCGGAGGCAATGGGTGCAAGGGAACGCAAAAGCTTCTACGCTATCGCGTTGACCGGAAAGCCATTTGCCTTGGTTCTCGCCGCTAAAGGCGCCCTACCTGTCGTGAAAAAGATCGATTGCATGACCATTCATCTGAATTCCCTGTTTTAAGGCATTATAATTAATCTGTGTTATTTTACGCCTCATAAGACAAGGTGTGACGTTACATTTACCTCTTTTGAACACAAGCCGTGCGCACGTACAGTGGTGGTCAAAATATTGCGGACCACGGGATCGTGTGTCAAACAGCATCGAGGTGCCTTCTGAGGGCTTCCTGCAGAGCTAAAAAGCGCGCACAGTGCAGGCGCGCCCTTTTTTGCCTGCTACCCACTTGTTCACTCTCTTCGACAGCGCGCGCACGAGAACGTCAAAAGAGGAGCAAGGTATCACTCCTCCTGTCGCCACCGAAACACCGAGCGATTGCATCGTGACGAAAGCACGTAATTTTTATTGGCAGTACTCTGTGCACGACACATTCTGCGCCTTAGTCCCCGACGCTTCGGCCTGTCGAAAACGTGCATGCGGCGTCAGTTTTTCTAAAATCAACCTTTGTGATCAGGTTCGTACGCTGACAGCCGGAGTGACACCTTGCGATTCTTCTAGCGTTCCGGTGCGCACGCTGTTAAGCGAATGAACAGGCTGGTAAGTAAAAAAGGGCGCACATCATGCTTCTGAGCTTCCCAGACAGCGGTCAAGAGGCGCCGCGGTGCTCTTCGACACGTGATCCTGTGGTCCGCAAAATTTTGACTACCACTGTACGAGGCAGTCGTCATTGAACAAATATACATCTGAAGCACTGCCCAGTGATGCATCTCAACTTACTTTTGTGTATTCTTTTTTTTTCAGTTTTCCTTCATGCCATATTTCGAGTCTGAAGTGCTGACCGACGTAGAGTTTGTTGTGGATTCAAAGCACTACCCCGGCAAGAAAGCATCGTTCAAGGCCCACCGCTTGATTTTGGCCCTTCAAAACGATGCTTTCAAGGTCATGTTCTACGGAGATTTTGCGAAGCAAGATCGCATTGCTATAACTGACCTGCACTCAGACGGATTTCTGGGAATGCTTAGGTATGAAGGCCCGTTCTCCTCTGCACGAAAAATTAGCATATGGAACGCATACGATGAAACCTGCATGTGCGATGGTTCCGCACTCTGTCTCGTTGAATGCAGTAAAACTAAAAGCAATGTATTCACATTCGTTGATATTTTAAATACATTACTAATGTTAGGAAGTGTTTTTGATAATAAACGTACAATGCTTAGTGTTAGGAAAGACGTTTACCTAATATCCTCTATGATAACACAAGCTCAAATTATCGATGGTACCAAATATACCAAGCTATTAGAGTGGTATAAGCTTTTCTTGATGGCAGAAAATTGTGTGTAATAATACTTACTGAATGGAGTAGTACCAGTATCGCTTTAGGCTAAACAATAATTTTTCATTTAAGGCCTGAATGCAAGGAGATGTTTGTTGCTGCATAGCATTGATTGCAAAATGTAAAATCCCCATTAACTTACATTTAGGTGCACGTAAAACAACCCATAAGGTCTTTAAACTAAACCCTAGTGGCCCCGCCATGGTTGTGTACGGGCTAAGGTACTCGGCTGCTGACCCACAGATCGCAGTCATTGAATCCAGGCTGCGGCGGCTGCATTTCCGATGAAGGCGGAAATGTTGTAGGCCCGTGTGCTCAGATTTCGGTGCACGTTCAAGAACCCTAGGTAGTTGAAATTTCCGGATCCCCCCATTACGGCGTCTCTCATACTCATATGGTGGTTTTGGAACGTTAAACTCTACATATCAATCAGTTTTCGCCGTGGTTTGAGTACATTTTTTTGCATTTTTGCGTCGCAGGTACCTGTACAGTGGTGTTTTGAAAGTAGACAACGTGCGCCAGGCCTTCTACACAAGAACAGCAGCGACGAAGTACTTGATGCCTGAACTAAAAGGGCTGTGCTCCGATTATTTGGCCGTTCAACTCAAGCCAGATGACGTCTGCGCGTTTTTAGACAACATGCTTATTATGGGTGAACAAGACACCGATGAGCCAGTCAGAAATTTGTTGCATACTAATGGCGCTGACGTTCTGTCATCAAGCGGTTTTAAGTCCTGCTTGGAAAGCACAGTTAGCTATATTCTGGAACACATCAAAAGCGTGCCTGAACTGACGGTAATTGAAGCTGTGTACGAGTGGGCGCAGGAGCAGGTACTTTTAGAACACCCAGATGAGGAGGGAGTGCCCAACATACGCAAATTCATGCAGCCTTTCTTCACAAAGCTCCGCTTCCTTGCTTTGACTCCGAGTGACTTTGTACGAGGAATAAACACCTGGGGCATATTGAATGAAAAAGAGGCGCTGGCGCTATTGAGCACCATTATCGATTCCGAGTCTGCTGCTGTTCCACATGGTTTTTGTAAGATGAGGAAGAACCGCGTCTGATTGCCCAGGTGGAATTGCGCTGCAATAATGGGCAAGTAAAAATTGGAGAGATCACATCGTTTAGGCGCTATGTTTGTTTACGCGTCTTCTAGCTCATATATCCCTCATTTTAATTTCACAGCGTACTTCCCGCAAGCTTGCCGGGTTCAGTTTCTCGTGAAGAATAGTAGTTAGTATAGGAGAGTCCTTACTGTATTTTCATGTGCGTGCTTTAGATTATTATTTTTATTTCATCAGCTTACTTCATTTGATCAGGCTAAGCTTTATCAGTTTATTTTCGGGCAGTAATTGAGGATGAAACACACCTAATACGGTGTTTTATTCTTTTTGTTGTATTACAGGTCTTGCGTTTCACTGTGAAATAAAGTTACATGTGTAGTTGACCTACTTCTTTGCTTTTATATGGACATAAGCTGCATCGTATTCCTTGCTTCGGTTTGTTGATTCAATACATTAGCATGTTGATACGGAGAGAACGAAGAAAGCCGTAACTTGGCTGACATATGAACCATCAGTTGAACAGACAAGTAAAGCACCAAAGCCAGATGAATGCGATCTCTCCCTCAATGCTAGGTGGTAATTAAATTTCCAACAGGTAAAAACATAAAACTCACTGCCAAGAAACATGTTCTTGATCTAAGGTGCTTTATTAAGGCAGATAATTCAAATTAGGGTGTGAGCACGTTCGCGTTTTCTTATATATTTGAGTTGTTTTGACATCAAGTAAGAATTCGGCAGATCCCAAGTATCATGGTTATCACTGCTATGCGAAGCAAGCCGAGGCAAATTGACTAGCTTTTAATGTTCATTAAGCGAATTGTGAACACATGGTGCTAAAGCTATGCATTAACGTTGTACGCGAAAACATATGCTAAGCAGTCGCATATGTTTAGTACAACTAGCTGAAACGATGCCAACATCAGGCATGGTCATTACCAACACTAGATGCGGTAAGCTGACAAGTAGCGCCTGTACTTGTGAAAATAGTAGCCTTTGATAGGTGCTACGTTAGCTATTGTCATGGAGTCGTGACGTGGCCTAAAGGAGTCGACTACAGATCGAAGATGAAACTGTTTATTCGGGCCGACCTTGTTGTCAGCAAATGAAAATTAAAATTACAGCAAGGCACTGGAACTGATAGTGGCGGGCAGAGCGTCGGTCATTGATGAACTGACAAGCGGCGAAGCATGTCAGCATTTATATACCCTTGACATTCAATATTCTAGCATTATCGCTAGCGGTGACGTATGTTCCCGAATAATCTGTGACGCTCCCAAAGTGGGCGCAGTCTTAACAAAACGATCTACTTAAGCCTCGAAGCTCCTCGAACATCGTAGGCATAGTTTGCGCGGAACGTAGTGTAACAGGGTGATAACAAAACTTGAGGAAAAGAACGTGGCTCTGCCCCCCTCTGAAAAAGGCATCGTCCGGAGGTTTTAACAAAAGGCGAAGGTACAGCAATAAAGACAATAAACAATAACTAATACTTCCGGCCCGCAAGGTACTTTGAAATGATTATTAAGAAATAAACTCTAGCAACAACAACAAAACAGAGTCCTCATGATTCGCGCATAGAATGGCTTGAGGCACACGACATGGATGACTTCAGGTCAAGCACGGCGCCGATGAGAGTTCGTAATGCCGTCAAGAACAACCTCGTAGTCGAGTGGGCTGAGACAGCGAACTATTGTGTACGGTCCGAAGTACCCTCGCAGAAGTTTTTCACTGAGCCCACGTCGGCGTATCGGTGTCCCTACCCAGAGACGGTTTCCGGGCTGGTACTCAACGAAGCTTGGTCGAAGATTGTAACGGTGGTTGTCGGTCGTTTGCCGGTTGTTGATGCGTAGGCGGGCGAGTTGATGAGCTGCTTCTGCGCGCTGAATGTTGGCGGTGACGTCCAGCTTCTTTTCGTCACAAACGTTTGTAAACTGTGATGGAATGCGCGGAATTTAAAGCGGGTGGAGTACGCAGAGCTTGAAACGGGGCGAGCAGAATCTGAAGTGCGCGCCATGAACCAAGTTCGAAGTCGGCAACCATGAACCAAGTTCAAACGCGCAGGTTCAATTGCGGAGGTCCGAGGAGCCACCTCATGACACTTCCTAAAGGACGAGTCCGTTTGACGCAAACAATAGCTTGACAACAATTTACCCAAATATAACTGGTCCTACGCCTCAGATACAGTTACAAAGAAATCTCCATGCTGTAAGTTAGTCAGTCATCATCAAGTCCTACCATTCAGTTTCTGCGGAGAGTTGGTCACAGAGAATTGCGAAGGAGCGGGTCTCACCGACGTCGTTGAGTGGAGGCCTTGCACGAAACATGGGGCTTGACGTCGGCGCCGTAGTTGGCGTCGGCGTTGGGCAGCTATACGAATCGTAGGAGAGACAGCCTTCCTAGGCTGCCGGTGGATGCTGCACCACCTGACGCTGCACAAGTTGACACTGCACCAGCTGACGCTGCATTTTATGCAATGGCCTCGAGGTAGGGCCTCGTCCGGACAGCCTCGCCTGAGCTCGAGCCCGAAGATCGACAGCTCAGACCTGCCCACGGGCATGGGAACGTCAGTGCAGCCTGTCAGTCCTGGAGCCCCTCAGGTCACCAGACGATGAAAGTTGTAGCCTTGGCTCGGGTCCGAAGCCCGACCACCCTGATGCGTGGCTCGTCGTTGTTGTGGGTGGTGTTTCCCTGTGCAAATGGCTCGTACCCAAAGGAGGGGATTGGCCAATTATAAGGTGAATTTGCCCAAAACTTTCAGCATTGCATCATTCCTACAAAACTTTTGTAACTTTATTTTGATTTGAAATGCCGATATCAAGTTTTTTAGCAAGAAAGTACTTTAGCAAGAAAATCGTTTAGTTGCACTGATGTATTTATGAACGGCGATTAAAACATCCCTGTGGCTGAAACCCAGTGTAGAGGCTCCAAATGAAAGAAGATCAGGTTGTGATAATTGCAGCCCCAGTCTTTGAAGAGGTGGTACTAGCATGCTTTGCCTGAAGAAATTGAAACGGTGACAATGTAACAAAAAATGACTGATTGTCATCCTCGGCCTGCCACTGCAACTCTTCTTTTTTTCTTTCTCGTACGTGCTTCGAATAAAGCTGCATCTACGTTGAATTGGCGCTTCAGACGTTTCTTGTTGCTGATGCTCATGCTGATGACCCAAGACAAATGGCCCTCACCCACAGAGGGGGATGAACTAAAAACTGGGCGGCAGGGTACCTAAATGAAACAAAAATGAAATTAAAGCCAATCTGAAAAATTAGTTTACAGATAATATTACTTATAAACGAAAATTTTCGCTGAGCAAGCGGTCAAACCATCTCTTTTTTTGACAGACATCGCTACGAATTATAAACTAAAGATCTGATAAGCTTAGGGTTCACTAGCACGGTAATCTTTTACTTGCGTTGATGTAATCACAGTGGAGCATATATCTCTGTGGCAGTAACCAAACGGAACTGCCACCAAATGATAAAAGTATTTGTAGATTTACTTGTATTCCTAGCTTTTGTTGTGGGGCTACACGAAACATTTTTCTCTGAGAAGAGTAATGATTACAGAATAAAAAGAAATGTTCAATTGTTTCAATTTCGTTGGAAAAATGCACAGAGGTGACGCCTTGAGTCAAGCTTTGTTAAGGTAATAGTTCACTTGTGGAAGTGCACGGCGCAATTTGGTATAAGTGACCTCTAACTGGCGAGATACACACCACTGTTTATTCAAGCAATACCTCAAATGCTAGAAATCTTTAATTTTATCCAAATTACCTATTCCTCATTGCAGACAAGCATTTCGGAACCTTAGCGCTGTCACGTAAGCCGTATCTGGTGTCACACCGGTCCCGTTAATTAGGGAGGCGATCGCCGGGCTAATCCCAAGGGCCGAAGTGTCGGCACCCCGAACCGCACCACGAAAGCGTGGACAATTTAGAAGTGGTCCTTTTTGCGCGCCAGCAGACGCCGGCTGTGGCCCAAAGAACGAGTCAGAGCCGAGAGTTGATAAACAAACAAAATTATATTCTCACTAATGGCAGATCGAAAACTATATACAAGTATGCACACTCCACAATAGTTGAGTACAATAGGTCACCAATCAAACAACGTACTACACAGTACAATCAGCCACACTCAAAACAGCGGACACAAACAACAATACACACTACAATGCAGTCGCATGCATTGAACAACCAAGACACTTAAAGACTAAAGAGATAGAAAACCTATTCAGTCCAAAGTCCTTGGAACAAAAGTCTGAATGATACTCTTCCGAGAATCACTCACTCAAAGTCCAGCGTTGTTGTCGTTCCGCTGCCCCCTGAAGTTTCTCTTCCAGGAAACCTCGCGTCTTCAATTGGCCACTCTTCAAACTTCAACTTTTTCGCCGGAACACATCGGCTTCACACACGCAGCTGTTGCCACGCGTCTTCGCTCGATAGCGGTAAACACACGCTCTTGCCTGTAGCTCGAGCCTTCACCCCTCAGGTGGAAATCCTCTTCTTCTCCTGCTTTGTCGCCACGGACAAAACCTTCGCCGACTACACGGCGGAATCGCTACGCGCTCTGGTACTAACTTCCGTCTTCTCCTGCTCTGTCACTACGGACAGAACCTTCGCCGACTACACGGCGGAATACCTACGCGCTCTGGCGATAACTTCCGTCTTCTCCTGATCTCTCGTCTCGGCTGCTGGGTTAAATACCTTCTGCGCGACATTCCAGAAAGTTCTCGTCATTTCGTCGGCGCAATACGCAGCGAAGACTGGGGAGAGGCGCGAGACTGTTGGAGTGCCCTCCGCGGCGGATGACTGAACTCGGTATGTCCACGCCCCTTTCCATTTAGAAAAATCTAGTGCTTGCCCGGCCGCCGTTGTGGGGTGAGGAGGTTCGTCGGCGAAGCCACGCTTCTGCGGGGAGAGCGCGCGCCTTGGATGTTTGTTGTCTTTTTTTTTCTTTTTACCTCCCGGCGTCTCTTCCGCACGTTATCGCAAGAATTTGGTGGCGCGCCCATTTTTAGCGCTCGTTCTGTGACACTGCCCCCCACTTTAAGAATATTATCTCATAATATTCAAAACCACACAAACGTGCGCGAACAGTCACCACACACTCTGAAAGACTGTAACATAGTCCGTTGCTCACAACACGTCACATTCACAATAGATCACTCAATACAATTGTACATTGTAACTCAATTACACAACACATGAAACATAACCACAGACACATGAGTACAACACTCCACCACACATTCCCAACAATACAATGTACAAAGTTCTCTCTTTACAACAATTATGCAACACTATACTTCACAGCACAGACACTTCGACACTTGTGACACAGGATAACACAACATTAACACAACATATGGCATTCAGCACTGCCAAACACATT